CTGGTCGTGGGAGTTGGACCAGCCGAAACAAGCATACCTACATTAAACAGATCCTTATTTCTGCCACATACATCTGACGGTTATGTAAATCAATTAAAAGGAGAATAATTGAAAGAATTTGTCTTATACCTTTTATTTTTAACAGACAGCTTTAGAAAGTTTACTATGTTCTCAAGTTGCCAAATTTTCTGAATTTCAATATCATGGTTTCTCTGTATGTACATTTTCATCAGTTACAATTAAGTTCAAGTGTGATTTTTTTATGTTCCTTTATTTTCGTATACTTAAATATATGGTAAATATTTTTTTTATAAAATATACTTAACAAATTAGCAGTTTATAATAGTTTTTGAAAAACTAATCCCATCCAAATTACGTTATTATACAGGGTGAGTTTTAAATAAGTTTTTTCACTAACTGGAATAGAACCGTTCTGTTTTCCAAACGGGAACCAACTGAAAGCGGAACTGAAGAATCTGAAAGACTCCATCCTTTGTTCCATCCGTAACTTGGAATGGGTGTCCTCTCCAACGCTCTAAGACACTCGAAAAAGTTCCTCAGAAATTACGACCGAAAAAAATCAAAGGTTTTCCTTGATTTAAGTAAAACCTTTGATTTTTTTCGGTCGTAATTTCTGAGGAACTTTTTCGAGTGTCTTAGAGCAACCGAACCAAACAGGACACTGTCTCCTCAACGAACATCTCAGTAGGCTGAAGCTGAGAAACAACGGCGAATGCATATTCTGCCTTATGCCTGATTTTCGTAAAAATTTGAAATTTAAAAAAAAATTGAAAATTTAAAATTAAATAATATGGCAACATGGTAGTAGATTAAATTTACAAAAAAGAAAACCCAGAAAAGATCTATGTAGCAGTTCTCAAAATTTAAGCGAAAGATCATTTTTTTGGAAAGTAAAATATCTAGGTTATTCAGACTTATTTGGTTATCAGACTTATTTGAAAAACGGTAAAGAGTTGGCTTCTTTTATCGAGATTTACAAGCTCTGAAAATATTTGCCCTTATTTAAGACTCACCCTGTAGAATTAATATAGAAATAAAGATGTTTTATTGACACGTTCACTATAAAATGTTGATAGCAAATTGACATCTCACAAAGTGTGATTTTTAACATTGTATGTTCTTGATGGGATATCATTTCATTTTGTAGGACATCCTCCTTTTTTCTCGAATATAATACCTAATATATTTTTCAAAAGAATATCAACAAATAAATCATTCAAAACGGTCAAAATAAAACAGAGAATCACTAAAAAAGGTGAAACCCAAATCAATCAAAACTAATTGACTTAATAATCTTTATTTTTCATTTAATGAAAAATGAAATTTCGAGGTTTTTCATTTTTTTCCTTTATAAGCTAAGCTCTAACAAAAATTTGAAGTTTGTGAGTCTTCTAGAAGTACCTTCTAGAGGGTATTTAGATGATCGGTGAATAAGTGATACAATAATATACAGGGTGTTCCAATTAAAAAAATTTATCCCGATCTACTCACACTGTTTTAAGCTACCCCATAGAAGTTAAAATATTTTCCTGAAATACATCCTAGTATATAGTTTAGGTCTGCACTTAACCAAAAATCCCAAGTTTTTTATTCTAAGAGCTACTGATGCCCGACGCATTATTGACGGACCCTGTATAGCATGTTTTATTAAAATACTAAGATTTCCAGCAATGTTTCAGAAAGAACCAACCGCAAACTCAGGACTATATTTAATTATATTTTATATTTCAAAACATTTATCTATTTTTATTTATCTTATTATTTACCTATACTTTTTTATTTTATTAACCCTAAAAAAATATGTTATTAATTCCAATAAAAAAAAGTAATTAAAATTAGTCAATTAATATTAAACGAAATTAGCACTTTTTTCGTCATATCCGCTGTCACCGAAAACGATATAATTGATAAAATAGATTTAAATGAAAATCTGTTTTGTTTCCGTCGGTGTGTATCCAGCTGGAATTATTGGACGAGTCGATCCAAGATTAAATTGGCAATTTTAATAGTAATATTCGAATAAACAATATCGCAGAAAAATGTCATGATTTAAATTTGTTTATTTTTGTCGGAAATAAAATTCAGATTTTTTGATATAAAGTTATTCCATTGCAAAAATAGAAATAAAAAATAATTTGAAATTCTATGATACAGTAATAAATGGAAAGTGAAGGTGCGAAGAGATAAACATTGCTTCAAAATCTGAGCACAACCATACCATCCTTTTCTGAAACCAACTCAGGGCACTTTTGACATCCCTGTAAGAATCTTAATTTTCTGTGATAAAGAGTACATATTATAACTGGTTATATTGAAAATATATCTATATACAGGGTGGTCCAAATTGTATTCCGGAAACTTCGGCAGCATATTCTGCAGATTAAAATTAGTAAAAAAGTTCGTACAAATGTATGTCCTAAAATGTTTACTTTCGGAGATAGAGGGTGTAGAAGTTTCATTTTTATTTCGATTTTTTCCAAATAATTTATGAAGAAACGTCAATATTTGGATGAAAATTGGGGTATGGGAGTTTTTTGACATGAGAAATTTGATATTCATGTCAATATGACTCCTACTTGTAGAGGGCGTCACCTACTTATTTTTTAACTGGTTTGAAGAGTAATAACTTTTTGTCCATACCTGTTTAAAATTACTGAGTAGAAAAAAATACATTTACGACTTTTTTTACGTAAAAAAGGTCTCTTGGTAAAAGTCGCTACGAGTAATGGTTCCCGAGATATTTGGAATCGAAATTATCAATACCTGTCATCATTGACATAACTTAAACATGTTGACTAAATAGTTCTTAGACTGAAATCATAAATTTGAAATGTTTTTGTGTCAAAAGTTCAACAAAAACTGTTTAGTTATCATTTTTTTCGCAGAAAAAATTATGATTAATTTAAAAAAATAAAAATTTATTATTTCAGTCAAATAACTCAACATGTGTTTATTTTTTGTCAATAATGACATGTATTGACTAGTTCCATTCTAAATATTTTGAGAACGGTTGCTCGTAGCGATTTTTACCAAGACACATTTTTTACGTAAAAAGTTATGAAAATGTAATTTTTTTTACTCTGTAGTTTTATACAGGTACGGACGAAAAGTTATTACTCTTCAAAGCAGTTAAAACACATGTAGGTGGCACCCTCTACAAATAGGAGTCATATTGACATCAAAATCAAATTTCTCACGTCAAAAATCTTCCAGACACCAATTTTCATCCAAATTTTGACCTTACTTCAGAAATTATTTGGAAAAAATTGAAATAAAAATGAAACTTCTACACCCTGTATCTCTGAAACTAAGCATTTTAGGACATACATTTATACGTACTTTTTTACTTATTTTTATCTGCAGGATATGCTGCCAGATAAGTTTCCGGAATACAGTTCGAACCACCCTGTATACAGAAATTTCAATTTTTTAGCATTACCCCATTAGGTAACTCTGTTCAAAAAGTAATCTTTAATTTACAGTTTTTGGGTTGCTACCAACCCATTACCAACCAAACGATCAAATTCAAAATAACCAACTAATTCAATCATTATTGATCACTCCGTAGTTATCCTCAAATTTTCGAATAAACAATCTGCCTAAGGTATACACTTTAGTCATATTTACCTCGACCTGTATAAACATAATCAGCGCTAAAATAGCCTCGGCCGTCAATCTGTTATTAATTAATAAGGAACCCGTCATAAAAATCAAACGAAAATATCCATCTATTAGTTTTCCTTTCCCCTGAAGCTGCGCCTGGACCAAAGCAGCCGGCGAGCGTCGGAGATTCAAAACAAACAAAAATACGCAGATGAAATATGACTTTCCGGACGTGTGTCATCGAAGACGCCGAGCCATCTGGTGGCGAACGCTTTCATCATCGTCATCATCATCACTGCCGTCAACTCTTTTAGACTTTTTTTTCTTCTTTTAAAAATAGACGCTATAGTTTTTTAGTTGGTCCGAATATAGAGTATGTTACTTCTTAATGTTCAGCACGGTTAAAAGTTATATAATAAGTGGAAATATTATTTCATTTAACCCAAAAACGGCTGAAGGTTTCAACTTTTTTTAGTGAGGAAAATATCAGAAAGAATGTTGAAATGAATGATGAAAAAGTGTGTTGATGAGGACCCAAAATCAATGCTAAAATTGCTGTAAATCGTTACTGTAGCATTCAAAAGCGAATATCTCCGAAATAAATAAATTAGATTATTATAGCCCGTATATGTCTATTTAAGTATTTATCATAACGGTAACGAATTGACGAATTAATTAAAACTTCTCTTTCTTTTATTAATTCCTGAAAGATTGATGTGAATTATACTTGTATTCAAGGGCGTAGATAAGGGGGGGGGGGTACTGGGGGACAGTACCCCCCCCTGACGCTTGACGAGATACGAGAATTGAAATAGTCATTGACTATGAAAGGATTTTTTTTAATTAATATCCGACATATAAGAACACTTTGTATGCTTTTAATTATGTTGATTTATCGTTTATAATATGTTCGACCTAATTAAAAGCACACAAAGTTCTTATTTGCCAGGACAGATTAGTGGGGTTAACTCTAATCAATATCCATAAAGATATTGAAAAAAATGTTGATGCTGTTATTGATAGGTTTTCCAAACAGCGTACTAGAAAACTTGATTTTGTTTTGTAGTTTTATTTATAGTTTATAGTTTTTTATAGTTTTTTTTGATAGTTTAGAGTTTTTATTTATAGTTTATAGAAAATTAACTAATAAACGTCGTTGTTTCATTTTTGTTTATGTTATTTACAAATCTATATTTTAATTTTTGTGTTATGTTTTTATATATTTTTGAAGACAAAAAAATCGCTGTCGTTTTAATTCGACAAAAAAATTCCGACGGTGATTTTTTTGCGACTTAATCATAGTACCACCCCCATAGCATACACCTATCTACGCCCCTGCTTGTATTTGTATTTTAAACCAATGCTATTTATTACAGGTGATACAAGGCAACATCAACCCCTATCTCGAAGCCAAACGACAACTGGATCCTCCGTTATGGGCGAGCAAAATCCGATTCTACCCGTACAGTTTCCACAAAAGAACTGTATGTATGCGGGTGGAATTGTACGGTTGCAGATGGACCGATGGTCTGGTTAGTTACACCATGCCGCAGGGTGATAAAAGAGGTGCTAATTGGGAATTCTATGATTTTGGGTAAGTTACCTAGCAACGTCTTACTCATTTTATTGTCGAACAGTTTCAATGTTACATCACAAAATAGTTACACACCAAAAAATTCCGACTGTTGTTTATGCATTCGTATGATGATCTAGCATCGATATATTCTAGTTTTGACAACAAAAACAGTAAAATTCTAAAACCATTTTCAGCAAATTGTTACTTAATTCTCTGTTGTACTCTAGAGAACAAAAAATATCAGCGTCTTAATCAAAAACGTCAATCAATCGTCTCAATCCAAAACCTGATAAAATTTCGTGACGACAAAGTCTCCGGAATGTTCTGTAAACTGGATTGCGCAGATTCCAACTGCACATCCCAAGGCAGTGCTGTGAGAGACGAATTGTTATTTCACGATCTATTAGTTTACACCTGTTATTTGACATAGTTATTAGACATAGTTCTTTGACATAGTTCTTTGACATAGTTATTAGAAAATCCAGTATATCTACAAGCATTGGCGTAACTACATGGATGTCCGGGGGTGCTGGGCCCCCCCCCCCCTAGGTACTGCTAGGCACCACTAGAGAAATCCTGAATTATGACTCATGGCTACGTATTAATTTTAATTTGCTTGTGATGTAGTAAAAATGACGTTTTCTAGTTTTGTTTAGTTAATATTATTTTGTTGTATTCAAAAAATGTGTCAATTTTTATTTTTTTTTAGAAAATTTGTAGGTATTTAAGTAATCTACGGGAACACGGTTTGATAACCAAGTCTATGAAATTTATTAATAGAGAAATTCATATAAAAGTTTTAATTTTTCTAATTTTAATTTCAAAAAATGTGTTTTTTAAAATTATTTTACAAAATAAATATGTATTTAAAATAGGCAAGCAATTTTTGATACCCCTGTATACATTGAAGGAAGCAATCAAATATTTTAATAAGGTTTATTTCTCTGGCTTGAAAGTCACCACAAGACTTAATTCTGAAAAGTAATGTACAGGGTGGGTCAATTTCGACGCTTTTAAATGGAAACACCCTTTTCTATAGGAAATAGACGAAAACTAATATCGGTGTCTGGAGCTCAATTTTCATCAAAAACATGATGGTGAAAACCGCACATCAACATCTGTTACCGTTTCGGAGTTACGGGGTGTTTTTCAAAAATATGCATTTTTAACAAATCGCTGTAACTTTTTTGCTATGGAAAATTTTGTATTTTTATGAAAACGTTTCCAAAGCATCTTTTTACGTAGAATTTAATTGTTTAAGTATAATTTTTTTTAAATTAATAATTTAAGAATTATCAACAGAAAATTTGATTTTTTATATGGGACACCCTGTATATTTTTAATTTATTGAAAAGAATTTAATATTACCTTTCCAAAAATATAACACACTTGATATTTTGCTCGATTCCTCTTCGAGATATAGAGTATATAAAAATTCGCCCGCTTTAAATAAGTAGGCTTTGAACGGCACCGGCTGTAATGCAAAAAAAAATTAGTTGTGAGCATCAATTAAAACGAAAATAATATTTGCTATGAGAGATGCAGAATTTAATAACAAATAAAATATATTTAACCAACATCAACACATTTAAACTATATCTAATAACAATAAAAATAAATAGCAAACCAAGACATGAGATTTTGCTACAGGTGTTCGACATATCGACCGTCTTCTGTTATGGAAAGACGGGGCAGTTTTTGAACATTTCTCGCGGAATTCATTAACTAAGTGGGGGTGAAAGATACCCTCTCATAACTTCTCAGTATTTCTAATTCTTGTCTAGATTATACGGAATAATAAGGAACCTTTATTCTTCCGCAAATATATCCATAGAATTAGATCCATGGGCACTAAGTCAGGCGGCCTCGACGGCTAACGGCTGGGATCTTGGTTAGCTATTCAATTATTCTTGAAATTGGCTGCAAAAATTTGCGGATAACTTCAGCGTTCAAAGGCGGTGCGTCGCGTCGTCTTGCTGGAAAAATATGTTTTCGAGTTCCATTAGGGGCATATCATCAATAAGGCGTCCAAAGCCTACTAGTTAAAAGTGGCGAACTTTTAAAAATTCTGTATTTCGAAGGGATAACAAAATATCAAGTGTGCTATATTTTTGGAAAGGTAATCTTAAGTTCTTTTCAGTTAATTAAAAATATAGAGAGTGTCCCAAATAAAAAATCAATTTTTCTGTTGATAACTTTTAAACTATTAGTTTTAAAAAAATTATACTTAAACCATTAAATTCTACGTACAAAGGTGCTTTGGAAATGTTTTCATAGAAATACAAAATTTTCCATAGCAAAAAATTTACAGCGATTTGTTAAAAATGCACATTTTTGAAAAACACCCCGTAACTCCGAAACGGTAACAGATATTGATGTGCGGTTTTCACCATCATGCTTTTGATGAAAATTGAGCTCCAGACACCGATATTAGTCTTCGTCTATCTCCTATAGAAAAGGGTGTTTCCATTTAAAAGCGTCGAATTTGACCCACCCTGTACAAGGTGTTGACAAACTTTTTTATTATGGCATGCATATTTAAATATCTTTAAACATCTCAAAAACCAAAGCATTTAAACATATTAAATCCTTATAATAAATAACTCATTTAATATCCAAGAATCCAAAATTGAAATAAAATACCGGGTGTTCCATAAGAAAAAATATAAGTTTGGTATGGATCTTAGTTCTGACACACCCTGTACATTTCAAAATAATTTTAAATTATGTACATTGCCTTCCCACATATACCCTCAAAATAATGTGTTTCTACATCTTTCCGTTTTCGTATAACGGGGGCGAATGAGGTGCGCCACCCTGTATAAAATGTTAAAATACATGAAAATTTAAGGTGTCCGTTTAAATGCGCAAAGGAATTTCCATTTCAAATTATAAGGATTTTCAGAAAGATCCTTATAAAGTCATTAAGTACCGTATGATCGAAGAAAAACGGCGTCTAGTTGGCTGGGAAATGGCGATCAATGACATTTCCCATATAAATTTACATATAAAATGACAGCGACCTTCATTTCATAGCCATCGCTGATACCGTTTTTTTTTCGAGCATACGGTATTTACATTGCATTAAAAGGTCATTAAAGGTGTATTATTGACTTAGTTCTAAACTGTACTCTTTCTTTTTCAGATACGACGGTTTCTGGGATGGCAACGAATTGAAACACGGCCTAGGCCAACTGACAGACGGAAAATTTGGCCACGATGACTTCAAAACCGACCTGTACGAAGGCCAGACGTGGGTGGGCTGGAAGAACGACACCCGCCACAAACCCGTAGAACTCAAGTTCGAGTTCGACAAAGTCCGAGAGTTCTCCGCCGTGCACATTTACTGCAACAACCAGTTCACCAAAGACGTCCAAGTCTTCTCATCGGCTAAAGTGTTGTTCAGCATCGGTGGTAAAAGATTCAACAGGGGTGAACCTATAACTTTCGAATACATGGAAGACAAAATTTTCGAAGATGCCCGAAATATCACTATCAAACTGCATCATAGAGTAGGAAAGTACGTTAAGTTACAGTTGTTCTTTGCTTCGAAGTGGATTATGGTGAGCGAGGTTTCGTTTGAGTCGGTTGTTTCGCATGGAAATTTCACTCCTGAGCCTGAACCAACGACCACGCCTCACGTGAGGTTATCTTCTGAGCACGAGCACAAAATGGAGATTCCTGTACCGACTGATGTGAATGAGCCAATGTTAATAGCTGTAGTACTGATCGGGATTACGCTGGCACTACTTGTGTTAGGAGGCATCGTTTTGGTAATCAGGTAGATACAATATACTAATATATAAAATCCTTAAGTGACTCACTGATTAATCACGATCCTGCTCAAACCACTCAACGTAATAAACTCAATTTTGACATTCAGGTTGATTCTAGGGTGTAGAGGTTCAATAAGAAGGGATTTTTCGAAATTCCAGTTCGAAGGAGGTGAAACCACCCCTCAAATATTACAATATTTTTTATTTAAAATACAGTTAAGTTTCCAAAAGAACGCTTAAACATCTGTATATTTTATTTTATTTTTTTACATATTTTAAGATTTTTTAAAAATGTATACAGGGTGTTTTGAAAAATCTGGTCATTGATTAATCACGATCCTGCTTAAAGCGCTTGACGTATAAAGCTGATTTTTGGAAAACGGATTGACTTTAGGGTGTAGAGGTTCGATAAGAAGGGATTTTTCGAAACTCGAATTTTAAGGGGGTGAAACCACCCCTCAAATATTAGAATATTTTTTATTTAAAAAACGATGAGTTTTTCGGAAAAACTCTTAAACACGTATATTTTATTTTGTTGTATTACATATTTTAAGATTTTTTAAAAATTTATACTGGGTGTTTCATAACATATGACCATTGAGTAATCATGATTCTGCTTAAACTTGACGTTAAAAGCTGATTTTTGGCAAACGAACTGACTCTGGGGTGTGGAGGTTCGATAAGGAGGGGTTTTTCGAATCTCAAATTCCAAGAGGGTGAAAACGCCCCTCAAATTTTACAATATTTGTTATTTAAAAAACGGTTAGTCTTTCGGGAAAACGCTTGGACACGCATAATTTATTTTCTTTTTTTTACATATTTTGAAATTTTTTAAAAAATCATACAGGGTGTTCCAAAAAGTTGGGTAATTGATTAACCACGATTCTGCTTAAACTGCTTGACGTAAAAAGCTTATTTTTGGCAAACGGATTTTTCGAAATTCAAATTCCAACGAGATGAAGTTACCCCTCAAATATTACCAAGTTATATAATAATATCGCCATATTGTTTTTTCTCAGGCTGACATAAATGTGAGAAAATTTTATCCAGTTTATATGTTAATGGAAATTCTTGCTTTGCTTTATCATCACCATCACAAATTATTAATTCGACGCGAACGAAGTCGCGGGTACACGCTAGTTTAATATAAAAGAAAATTTCACTTCATTTTTAGACTGAAAAGAAAGAAGTACCTGAGGAGTCCCAACAACTCCAATCTGGGCTTCCCCAATGGGACTTTACCCACCCACATGCACAGTTCTGACGGCCTTTACAGCGTTCCAGAAAAAGACGGACACAGAATTGAGGCTTATGGCGTGACAGAACTGAACAGTTCAAATGATGAGTGCTATAAGAAGTGCTACGGTGGTGGATCAACAAAATCTAGCTTAAGGTTTGAAATGCAGTGTATTTTTCTTAAATACAAAATCACAGTTTATTTAAAGTTTAAGTCTAAATAAACAACTTGACAACTTGATTTATGAAATACAAACACTTGCTAACATTGCTGAACAACCGCCACGCCGCGCCGGCGCACAGTAGTTTGTTTTGGTAAACTAGGTGGAAGTTACTATTATATTAACGAATAATTTTTTAATCGATGTTCAATATCAAAGTATATTCATAATTTTAATTTTAAAGACGTTTACAGCATTTTTTTTTCAAACAAATAGAAAGCAATACGTACACACTGTGTCTGCTAAAGTTCTCTACATATAGGAAACTTTTTATTACTGATTTTTAACTTAATTAAAGACATGAATTAAATAATATGAGGTAAGTGCCAAAAAATTGGATTGTCAAGTTTTGTTTGTAAAATTTTCAAAGTTCCATAACCAACAACATATACCGGGTGCGTCTCAAAAGTAGTCTCCAAGTCACCTCCTATAACTTTTTTATTTTTTCAGATAAAAACAACCAGATTTGGTATGTTAGTATATGACATAAATTAGGAATAATTGACATATTCAATTCTTTTCTGTCTCTTCCTCTTTCAACGGAAATGACTACAACTTTTGATTTTTACATGGCACCCTCGGTATTTTATTTCAATCTAGAGTGTCATGGCTATGTTAAAAACAGACACTAATTTTTCATCAAGGAGCCTTGAAAAAGTAGATTTCATCATCTAATGTTTTTCGTGTCTTATCCTGGCCGGTTAAAAGATGCCCAATTCGAATTTTTAATCATATGTATCTCATTTTTTTTCAAATAGAACGAAGGTGACACATTAGCATATTTGAAAAAAGCATTTTTTACGAATAATTTGGTACCACACACTTAATATTTCGAGTCAAATTTTCGTTAAGAACCGTATGTTACAATTTTTAAATAAACCATATGCGAAAATGTAAAAAGTTGACATATGATATGTCATTCTATTCATTGTGTCATTTTCTATCGAATAAAATAAAAAATACCGAGGGTGCCATTTAAAAATCAAAAATTGTAGTAATTTACGGTGAAACAGGAAGTAACAAAAAACAATTGAATACGTCAATCAGTCCCAATTTATGTCATATGCTAACATAACAAATTTCGTTTTTTTATGTGAAAAAATAAAAAAGGTATAGGAGTGAACCACTTTTGAGACGCACCCGGTAGAAAGCGCTATTAAATTGTATTGAAACCAATTCTCAAAAAAGATACCGCCCGTTCTTATTCCTTCCCGGTTATTTTTCGTCAATTATCTATACCACCAGCAATAATTTAGCTAATTTGTTAAATATATTAATGATCAAGATATTATGAATCATCTGGTTTTAGATCCACGTTACCTTTACCACATCCAGAAGAGAACGCCTACCAAGAACCGTATCAGGCAATGAAATTTGCACCTTACTATAGTTATAGTCCTGTTGTTATGGAAATGACAGGAGGCAACAAAAGCCAAAGCCATTGTGGTAACACTTTCTTATGATTTATACTATTTTTTTTAATTAAAAACAAACATTTTTTACAGATAATTATGATTATGCTATACCAGAAGGCAATACTCTGCCCTTGCTGTCAGGGTCTGATCAGAACACTTTGCCAATGATCAGAGGTAGATTAAGTAGTAATTCGTGTCAGAATTCGAAGAACAATCAGAGAGTTTCTTTGAGAAGTACTAGAAGTGAAGGTGCTGAGGCCAAACGTGTAAGTACCTATATAATAAACCATTATAAAACGTATCTCATATTTATGGTACTTAGTTCACACCTAGAGTTTTATAAAAATATTGTATCAACAATCCTCGAAAATCCTTCTTTTTTGTTAAAATGAATTTTAAAAAATACATTTTGCTAAAAAACTCTTAGACGTGTTTCTAGCACCGAAATATATCACCCATTAAAATATTTGTGCTAATTTATGATTTACCCTGTATAACAAATATCTATTAAATAGATATTAAGATGTTGCTTTGCCCAACACTGAAAAAAATCACCATATATTTATTGGGGTATCCGTTATTTCCCAAGTTGATTATTTTTTTGCTGCCGCCCTCTGAAATTTTATTTTTTGGTCTAAAAAATTATCCAACGTAAATAAGTTCTTTTTTTTCTAATTTTTTGCTCCAAAGCAAATGAATGTATAGCTTCGGCAAAGACATATTCTAATACAAAATTTTACGCTCTACAAAAAAGGCCTCTTTGGTTTTTTCCATTAAAATATTCCTTTAAAAGTTATTCGCGGTCAAAGTTATGCACATAGTTTATAATCAATTTTTTCACACAATTATTCACTGCAAATTTTAATTGCGCCTTTTGATTTTGACGAAAAAAGGATCTAGAGCCATACTTTTTTCAATAAAACAATATTTCTTTACCAACTTTAATATGGAAAACTAATATTGCTCCAACAATGATCAATTGATCAAAACTATAATTTAAGGTTATTGTTTCATTGCCTTTCAGTGTTCGTAAAAATGTGTGTCAATTGAAAAGAATGAACAAATTTCGAGTGGTTTTTATCTTAATATTACTTTTATCGAATTAATTAAATTAAATTATTAATTAATTAAATTAAATAATTAAATTAAATTATTAAGTAATTAAATTAAATTAAATTATTAAGTAATTGATTATTAAAAGTATTAATTAATTAAATTAAATTATTAATCCATTAAATTAATTTAATTAATTCGATACAAGTAATATTTAAAATAAAAATAAACGATTAAAAAGATAAAATTAAATTATTAATATATAGATAAGAAAAATTTGATCATAAACTATGTGCATAACTTTGACGGCGAAACTTTTAAAGGAATATTTTTATGGAAAGAAGTAAATTTATTTTAAAATTTTAATTAAATTTTAAAACTTATGGAATATTTTTATGGAAACTTTTTTGTAGAGCGTAAAATTTTGTATTAGAATATGTCTTTGTCGAAGCGGTAGGTTCATTTACTTTGGAGATAAAAAAATAAATATATAATAATATAAAAAATATATATAATAATATATAATAAATGCAAAAGGTTAGAAAATCCCATGTTATTTAAATGGGAAAAGTATCATGATTCCGGCACGGTTTAAATTAAAAATTAAGAGCTTACGTTAGTTTACGTTGGATAATTTTTTTTAGACTAAAAACTAAAATTTCAGAGGGGGCAGCAAAAAAATAATCAACTTGGGAAATAACGGACACCCTAATATTTATCATTGGTACACATTTGTAGTCTCCAACACAACAGGATGCCTTGGCTATATTGAGAAAACGACTCGAAGAAACCTCAATTCCGGAATTTCCAAGGCATCGACTCAGAATGCTGTCGAAATTGTCGGAAGGTGCTTTTGGGACGGTAAGATTTCATTTTCCTTGTATAATAATGTATACAACATAAATAAATTATTATTTTAGGTGTATATAGCTGAGGCTGATGGCATTGCTGAATATCCTTCAGGAACACTGGATAGCAGATTGGTAGCTATAAAGTTTCTGGGTGATAATGCCACAGAAAAAGAAAAGTAAGTAAATTTAAGTATATCTGCCTTTTTCAGTCTTTGCTTTACTAATTATAAATCACAAAGATAAAAGATATGACTTTTATAAAATAAATTTTACAACTAACTGTTGTTTACAATATTTCCATAACGACTATAACTAAACAATTAAACTAAACTGCTTATTATAATAAATTATAAATACAGGTTTACCATTCTAACTTATTTTAACAAGCTGTAATTTTTCACTAATGATTTTAAATTATTAATATTTAGTATTATTAATTTTTATAATTATTTAAAGGCCTTCCTTTATTTTCTCCTGCAGACGCTACAAAAATAAACGCTTTTTCCGCCCAATATATAGACAACGTACAAATCAACTAAATACAATATGATCGAAAAAAAACGGCGTCAGCGATAGCTATGAAATGAAGATCGCTGTTATTTTATATGTAAAATTATATAGGGAATGTCATTGATTGTGATTCCCAAGCCAATGAGATGCCGTTTTTTCCGCTCATACGGTATAAACCTACCTTAATTTATCATATTTTAAAATTTGATTTACATAATTTTCTGATATATGATTCACCTTTCTTTACTATAGATGTTTTGGAAGCTAATAGCATTATACAGAAAGATTATAGGAATGAATCAAATATTATTTATATATTCAAGCATTTAAGTCCAAATTACTACAAAAGTTTCAAAACTAGGTACTGAAAACTTGTCCTATTTTGCAGTATATCTAGATTTGATTAGATTTTTTGAGGTGGCGATCAGACTATTCTACTGTATCCTTAGAGATATATTGCCTTTTTTTCTTATTGACAAAATCTGAACATGGCTTTGACCGTCAATCCCGTCAGCTTTTAATGCTTATTATTAACTTGCAAAACCCTGTTAGTAAAATGTCACAGTTTTGACAATGTCTCTCTCCTTTTATCAGGTCTCAGGTGTATGCTACTATCAACTGTTTCGCCTGGCTTTGCTCTGGTACATTTTTTCACAATTCTAAAGATTGATTGTGCATCTATTGGTTGTCGTTCCTGAGAATATGTCCAAAGTATGCCGATTTCCTTTTTTTGTTATACTTAGAAGCTCTCTCTCTCTTTCTCTTTCTCTTGGTTCATGCGATGTAATACCGGAGTAATTTGAAATATGCTCCGTCTAAGGTATCTTCAGTATTTGACAAAAAAGCTTCTCACTGTAGTCACTTTCAGGGTCCAGGATTCCATTCCATATAGGAGCTTCAATGTTAAATCTTTATTACAAATGAATTATTTCATTTTGAAGAATGTGCTAGAAGCCTGTTCTATCCTGGCTTTAGCCTCTACATCCTTGTCTGCAGGGAGTATATCTACTTTATTAAATTCTAAATTTATTTCAGGAAAGACTTCCATAGAGACGTGCGAATCCTGGCAGCTTTAGACGACGAGAACATAGCTCGCGTCCTGGGAATTTGCAGTGAGGACGAGCCACTCTGTGTCGTGATGGAGTACATGGAACATGGCGATCTCTGCCAGTTCCTCAAGATCCACGTCACCAGCGAGACCACGTCGAGTCTACCGTTCGGCGTGAAATCGCTCAGCTTCAACTGCTTGCTCTACATAGCGACGCAAATCGCCAGCGGCATGAGATACTTAGAGACGCTCAATTTTGTACATCGGTAAGTTTTCAGAGAAGGATACTTTTACGTAAAGCCACTTGTGTCCCACACCGGTGTTTAGATTTGGAAAAGCGTTGTTTAAAATTTATATACGTATACAGAAGAACTACTATGCGGACCACGCTGCTTTTAGTTCCTTAGCAGTTGTTGTCTAGTGTCTCGCCCTCGCAACAAGCTCGACCACTCGATACTGTGTTTTAGTTTTAGTAGTAAATTGTTTCCAATTAATGCGACTGATAAGCCACCAGTGCCGGTGGTGGACACTGATGTCAGACATATGTGGCTGTGAAAGTGGCTTCATGTAAAAGTGTCCTAAGTGCCACGGAGTCTGTGCAATCCAATTTGCGCAATATAACCTGTCCTACTGCCTGTAGGACATACACGCAGTTTTATAGCACAGCTTTGTCTACAGTAAACTGAGTGACGCGCCCACTAAGAGTTTCAGAACATTTTTTCTAGAGTGAAAATTTAATTAATAAAAATAATTAAAAATACAGTTCTGTCTTGTATTCTATTTTGCTCGCTTGTACAATAAAGATTGTTTATTTTACCAAAACATGACAAACTTGACATTGTACAAATCAAGGTAAATATAAATAAGCCAATCATTTTTTTCTATTTAGCTTATTTGAAAATTTAATTTACATAACTTAATTATATATGATTCACATTTCTTTATTAAAGTTTTTTTGAGAGTTATTAGGCATTGTATAGAAATACTAAGGAAGGAGACAAATATTGTGCTCCTTACTGTTTATTTTCCAAAACATGGCAATCTCTTATATAGGGTGAGTCACATATACAGTAAATAAGTGCAAACATTTTCACGGCTGGTAGATCTCGATAAAAGAAACATATTTTATCTTTAACGTTTCTCAAATAAGTCCAAAATAACCGATTATATTATATATTTTGAAAATTATCAAAAAAAATGATTTTTTGCTTTAATTTTGAGAGCCACAGGATCTTTTAATTATTACTATTAATAGTTTTTTTAACTAAAAACTAAAATATTTCCAAAATTTTTTTTAATAAAATTCCATATTTTCAAAAAAAATTATTCGCGATAAAAACCTCATAATCGTGTTTCTGGTGTCGAAATATTTATTACCCCTCGTATTACCCCTAAAATATTTGCACTTATTTAAGACTCCCCCCTGTATAATTCGAAATTGGCATAAATTATTATTTAAGTTCGACATTTTGTTTCAAGTTAATAATAGAATCATTAATAATGAATGACAATTTAGTTAATAATTAATCACAAATTTCGCTCAGGTCTGGCCAACATGCACAGTCGGTGGGAAGTTCTCACACACGTGCCGATATGTCTGAACAAATCAGATATGAACAGGAGGCCTGTGCAAAAAAACTGGGCGTTTGTGGGAGGCATTAAGTAATTATGTTGATTATTGATATGTTTTCAGTGATTTGGCAACGAGAAATTGCTTGATAGGAAAAGCTTATCAAATAAAAATATGCGATTATGGTACTTACAACGAGCTGTACGTCAACGATTACTACAAAGTAGATGGTAATACACCGTTGCCAATACGGTGGATGTCTTGGGAAGCGGTAAGTTTGTGTTTCTAAAAAAAGAGAGAAAATTATTAGATAGTGTTATATTACAATATGAGGTTGTTTCAGCAAAATAAAATATGTATCTAAATATATAATTAAATATTTTGTTTTTATAATCATTCCCTTAATATACAGTGTGGTCCAAAGTATAATCGGGAAACTTCGGCTACACATTCTGCAAATAAAAATAAGTAAAAAAATTCGTATATACAGGGTGTAGAAATTTCATTTTTATTTCTATTTTTTCTAGAAAAATTTATGATTAATTTAAAAGGAAATAAAAAGTTCCCAAATTTATAATTTCAGCCAAATAATTATCTAGTCAACATATTTATTTTTTGTCAGTGATGACATGTTTTGATAATTTATATTTTAATTGTCTTGTGAACGGTTACTCATAACGATTTTTACCAAAAGACATTTTTTACCTAAAAAATAGCCGAAATGTGATTTTTTTCACTCGGTAATTTTACGGTTATACAGATAAGGACAAAAAGATATTAACTAGTTAAAAATTAGAACAAGAAGGAGTCATATTGATATCGAAATAAAATTTATCATGTCAAAAACCACTCAGACCCATTAGTTCAGAAATTATTTGAAAAAAATCGAAATAAAAATGAAACTTCTACACCCTGTATCTCCGAAACTCAGCATTTTAGGACGTACATTTATACGAACTTTTTACTTATTTTAATATGCAGAATATGCTGCCAAAGATTACCGAATACAATTCGGACCACCCTGTATATTATAATCTCTTTAAATTAATCCAGTTGAAAAGTATATTTCTGTTTGATAAACAGGTGTATCAGATGAAGTATACGACGAAAAGTGACGTGTGGGCATTCGCTGTAACTTTATGGGAGATTCTCACGTTGTGTAGGAAACAACCTTACGATTCACTTACTGATCCAGAAATAATGGAAAATCTGGCAAGGTAAATGAGCAATTCACCTACTTCTAGCAAAAAATTTAGGGTGATTCACGGCGATGGCACGTTAGACGCTTATGGAGAACCGGTGATAGAATTTTTTTTGAAAATTTGGATTTTTACATAAATTTATGATGACTTTCCTTAACCTATAAACCAAATTTCAGCTTTCAGTATGCCGAATTTATGATTTGGACGAATGCTTATTCAAGATCATGTTTTTGTCAATTTTACACATGTTTTATTTTTTTCTCGAAAACTATCAAAGATAGATATAGGGTAGTATAATATAAAAATTATGAGATACCAAAGTAGTTTTCAAAAATGTAATAATGTGCCGGGTGTTCCATTTAAAAGAACAAAGATGTTGCCACTTTTAGTACGAAGCAGCAACACTGTAATGCTGAAAATAATTTAGACAGATAGAGCAGGTGCCTTTTGATGCAAAATGTGGGTCTCCATAAAGGTCTAACGTGCCATGGCCGTAAATCACTCTGTATAATTTTTTAAATTTAAAAATATGTCCAGTTAAAGTATAATTGCTTTGAAATATATGTTTTTTAATCACAATTTCTCGATATTTCAGGCTTCATTGTGACGACAAACAATACAAATATCTTCCCAGGCCTTCCAGCAACAAGGACATCTACGACCTGATGCTCGAGTGTTGGAGAAGGGTGGACAAGGACAGACCCACCTTCAGAGAGATCCACATGTTCCTGCAGAGGAAGAACTTGGGGTACGCCCCTGTGTGAGCCCACGGGCGTACCGACCGCAATAAATTATATAGATATTATTATGAATAACTTAATCGCTTCATTCCTGAGCAATAGAGCGGAGGGCCGAGGGTTGCTAGCGTCATCCTAGGCCCTCTCAGATTAATTGTACACGACGGGATCAATGTTCTTGTATATACTACACAGGGTGATAACTGTTTTCTATACTTTTATTTTGGTTTTTGTAGACATGTACTTGGTTTCTTTGATGAATATGTCACTGTTAATTCTCTAAACAATCAGTTTTTATAGAGGGTCCGGCAATAGTGCGTTGGGCATCTGTAGCTCCTAGAATAAAAAACTTGGGAATATTTTATTGGAATAATTTACAGGGTTGTCAAAATTTAATTTGTTTCACTTAAAATGCAAAATACACATTAGGGTGTCCGTTATTTACAAAGTTGATTGTTTCTCTCACGACGCGACGCCCTCTAAATTTTTAGTTTATTGTCTAAAAAAATAACAGACCTTTGTAAACCCTTAATATTCACAATAAACCTTGTCCCAAAAACGATTCTATTTCCCATTTAATTACATAGGAATTTGTCACTTTTTGCAAATATTTTTTTTTTCGATCTTGTTTTTCTCGGTCTTGTATAAGTGTATCATCTGCGTACCTTAACTTTGTTATTTGTTTACCGCCTATAGTGATACCGCCGTTATAGTCTTCCATAACTTCCCTCATTATAGATTCGCCACATATATTGAAGAGTAAGGGAGATAAAATGCATCCCTGGCGCACACCCGCCTCCAAGTCAAATGCATCTGAAATGGTGTTATTTATTCTTACTTTTCCTCTGCTGTTCTCGTACACACCTCGGATCAGCTGGATAAGGTGTTGAGGGACTCCCATGTTTTCTAGTACAGACCAAAGTTTGCTCCACTTAATACAATCAAATGCTTTGCTGTAGTCCACGAAACACAGATGAGTCGGGATGTTAAACTCATACGCTTTCTCAATAATTTGTCGGACGTTTAATATTTGCTCTTTAGTACCTTTGCCGGGCATGAAACCTATTTGCTCTTCAGATATTTCTTTTAGAATAAATTATTTTAGACGGCTATTGATAATGTGTAGCAGTACTTTGCTAGTGTGATTGATAAGCGCTATCGTTCTATAATTAGCGCAGTCAGTAGGGCAGCCTTTCTTGAAAAGTGGTATAAACTAGTAGTGGGAACTATCGAATGAATACTATCGAAACATTCGATAGTTGCAATTCATTCGAATAATTCGATAGCTAGTAAGAAAACATTCATTGAAAACTATTCGAATAAAAATTATCGAACAGATGCGTCATCTGCCTTGAAATATTGTATTCTAGTAATTCGGCAGCAAAAACCATTCATTTATAAAATTCATTTATTCGTCAGGATCGATTATAATAAAATATGGATTTTAGTTGTCGCCCGGCGACGTAGGTTTCTTTCCGAGAAACCGGACAGCGGTCAGTGGTAATGCTATGAAAGAAGCCGGCATCTTTGATTTTTTGCGGAGTAAAGATAAGGACACATTATTTTTTTTTATTTAGGTGCTAGTATTTAAACAGAAAAATACATTATGAAGGGCGCTGTTGCCATATATTGGTATTAGTTGATATTAGCAAAGAATATTATTTTTTGGCTTTAGTTAGTTAAGGATTGTATGTCTCTATATTTTGCATTTTTTTATTAATATTCTGTTGTTCCGCTGCAATAATACTTTTTATTTTGGATGTAGGAAAATGATTTTTAATCTTTTTAAGCAAAGACTGGTTTATTAAAAAAAATAATAATTACAGTAATAAATAAAATTGTTGTACCTATTAACAACAAAATTTAAAATCATTTAATATATTTTTTTAAGTATTAGCAAAATATAAACAACAAATTAAAAGTCAAAATTATTTATATTAGATCCTATTTAAAAATAATAGTCTGTAATTTTTTTGGCAACGTTGGTTTATTAAATAATAATAATTACAGAACTAATTTGTTATATTAACAACAAATTTTAAAATCATGAAATATAAACATTTATTAATTTTCTAAGCATGCAGTGTAATGGAAGGAAAATATAAATAAAAAATTAGAAATCAAAATTATTTATATTAGGTACTTTAAATTGCTATTTAAAAATAATATTTACTTTTACTGGCATTTACTTTAAATAATAAATAAAATATTTCTTCGCAAAAAACTACATGTAAGAGAATTAGCATAAAGAATCTCAACAAAATACGAACATCGTTAACTTTTTTTTTAAATTGGCACGTGTAAAACTTATAACAATTTAATTTTCTCACACCATAGTTCGAGTTCGATAACCATTTACTTAACCACATTACTTAAATATGATTATTAAGTTCAACTAATTCATATTATTAAAACATCTAAAATACAAATATGTATTTTTAAAATTAATTGTAAGTTCATCTCATTTCTCTTAAAAATTGCTACTTCTCAAAATTTCTCATTAAAAATAGACCATATACCATATAAAATTAAATAATTGAAAAGATCGACTACGGAAATCACAAATTTCGGAAAAATTTTGACCACCTGCACATGCACACAATCGTCAATTAAAAAAAACTACTATTTTGGTATTTTAAATATTTTAATAAACGCAAAAATAGCACAGTATTTATAAGGCGAAGTTATAAAACTTTGGAAGAACTAATAATGCACTGACGCATACAAAAATCAAACGAATACTAAATTTCATTTATCAAAAGCATGATTTTATTCGAATAAAACCATTCGATAGTTGAAATCATTCATTCAGTAACCATTCGATAGTCTAATTCATTCGATAGTTTCCATCGCTAGTATAAACAGTGATTCGCACCATTCTAACGGCCCCTTCTTCCCATATGATAGAGCATAGTTTGTGCATGATCTCTGTACCTAGCACTCCCATCGCCTTTATAATTTCGCCTTCGATAAACCTACTCCTTCAAAAGTTATTCCTACCATTTAAGTATAGCTGATTTATTTTAACAAACAATGTTTATTAAAATAAATCAGCTATACTTAAATCAGCTTAAAGGGTTTAAACTTCATTAGACTTGAAGATATCTTAATTCCCAACCAACCTTAACACCATCAGAATTGTATATTTTTACAGTAATAGATTAAATTTTTCAAAAATAATCAAAATTTTGTCAAAAAAGTTGAAGAATTTAGGAATTTACCGAGTGGTTAATTTTAACCGTGAATAACTTTTGAAGGAGTAGGTTTATCGAAAAATTGTAAGAGACCTTTTTTGTAGAGCGTTCAATTCTGTATAAGAATATGTAATTATTATGGCTGCAAGAGAACAAAATCGAGAAAAAAAATTATTTGAAAGAAGTGGCAAATTCCTATGTAATTTAAATGGGAAATGAATCGCCTTTGGGGCAAGGTTTATTGTGAATATTAAGGGTTGACAATGATCTGTTATTGTTTTTTAGATAATAAACAAAAAATTTAGAGGGCGTCGTGAGATAAATGATCAACTTGGTAAATAACGGACACCAGCGCCGTATCTGGGGGGGTGTTTTGGGAGTCCAACCCCCCCCGAAATTATGGCCGAAAATTTTTAAAAAGTAATGATCATTAAGTAAGTAATAACGAAACAAAAAAGAAGAAGAAGAAGATGGATGAATATCAATGACTAAAGAATACAAGGACATGTAACGCCCATATACGGGCTGCAGCAGAATTTGTGACCTTAGACGCCAACTTTTTAGACATAACGAATGAATCATCAGCGACAATTTTAGCGATTTTTAATAGTTGGTTTTGTGTAGTGAACTTTCTATAAACTTTATTACAATGGTAATTTGTTCAGCTTTCAAGTGTAAAAGGCGCAATGATAATAAAGAACCAGAAGTTACGTTTTATAGGGAAATAAACAGTCCCCTACACCTTTTTAGCGTTTTTTTATTGAATTCGATAATAATTTTTCTGATATTATATGTACTTGATATGTACTATACGTCGATACTAGTTATGTACCTTTTGTTAACATTTTAATACGTTTTTTTCGTAAGTAATTAGTATGATAGCACCCGATACACCATAGGCGTAGTGAAAATATATAATATCAAAAATATAAATATCCTTTCAAGCGGCAATGTTAAGTAAAATATGTGCCACGGCACTGTTTGGAAGAATGGTCACAGTTTGGTCTCGGGTGCTATTTGTCCTTGTATTTTTTAGTCATTGATGAATATACATTATACACCATAACCTCACTTTTCCACTTTGAAAGCAAATTTTATTTTCGATTTTTGACTTTCAACATTCAAGTGTTTAAAACAGCAAAAGCTTGACAAGGACAAGATTTTGAATGTTGTGTGTTTTGCTGGTCATTAACGTGATTAACGTTTGTTATTGTTCTGCTATTAGACAAAGAATTCTTGGACTATGACACTTTAGCGGCAGAACTAGACTTGTAGCGGCAAAAATGGAAGCAGCTACCTGCAGTCGACCAACCTAAAAACGCCATCGAAACAATAATCGGAGTGTAACCAAATATATACATTTTATTACTGATCCTAGCAACTCTACCAACGTCAACAGCTACACCAGAAAGGTCTTTTTCAACCCTAATGCCGCAACCGCGCATGCGGTATTCGGCGATCTCCGATCGGGGCTTCGCCGATTTCCTATGTGGAAGTCGGAGTTCGGCGACTCGATCGGCTACGAGAACGAGCGCTCATCTCTATGTTGTTGCTATCAGAGCCCGCATGTGTGGATGGAAAGGCGAACTCCGATCACGAGCGTTCGGTAGTTGACGAGCGCTCGGAGTTCGCTAAATGCCGCATGTGCGGTTGCGGCATAAGACGATTGAAGAACTTCCTACGTAACTCTACAGGTCAGGAGCGATTGACAGGACTTGCTCTATTAAGCGTACATAGAGAAATAAATATCGATATCGAAGAGGTAGTCAATCGTTTTTCCAGGGAAAAGACCAGTTTATCCTTTAAGATTAATAATTTTTACCTGTTACTTTTTTAAAATTTTATTTTCAATTAAGATTTGAGTGTAACCCAAAGCGATTTTTTATTATGCTTTTTCCTAGCAGCTTTGTAACCCCCCCAAGCCAACCCCCCCGAAATTTTGGTCTAGATACGGCCCTGACGGACACCCTAATACACATACAAAGACGTACCATTAAGCTATTGATTGACAGTGACATATTTTAAGAAAACTATCTACATAGAGTAGAAAAGTCCGAGTCTAGAAATATTAGACCGGACGAGATAAAATAAAATTGTTGAAAGAAAGATATTTTTTAACTATTTTCTTCTATTTAGCATAATTAGCGCATTTTTTACATGTGATCTTAGTAAGTTTAGATCTCAGATTTTATAATATTAACATGAATAGAAATTATTTTCGATTTTTCTGTGTGATTTAAAATGGAAGGCAATTTTATCGACATTTCTTAATGATATTCTTTGCCGTCTTCGACGCCGTTTTTTTTTCATCATACGGCATTTATATTCACAACTTTAACAAAATTAACTTAACAGATTAATCATTTAACTTACTTCCTGTTCATGTTAATATCTGTACCTAATCTTTTATAGCGTAAGAACTACGAAACTTATTTTTGTCGTCGCTGTTTGACATCGAACCTAGACATTTCTTAGTGGCTTAATAGAATTTCTAAGGGCTTGAAACCATTTGTTGAAATTTCTCTCACTTTGCACAATAAAAAACGACAATGTTTCTAGATATTAAAGAGTAAGAGGTTAAATAAAAGAGTATATATAAATCTGTATATTTACGAATAAGTAATTATAATATCTAGTATAGTATATAAATTATGTACTAGTCAATTTGTTTTCTAAAGTAATGCTTAATATTGTTTCTACTGTACTGTTAGTATTATTATTATGATAGGAACAGAGGATCATGCCTAAATAAATATATTTGTTAGAAGATTTTCATACACAACGATTGTAGATTTTTTTTGTCATAATGTCAAATATTATTGTTCTATTATGATCTACTATGTTAAAATAAATTTTGCACAAAAAACTTATTACTCTCATAGAACATTTTCTTCTAATTTCATGGTTTCTAATATATTTTTTTTTTCTAAAAGACTGACTTGTACCTACATGTCTCTCATTACTATTGTACAAATAAGCACTGGCCCAATAACTTTAGATCAAATTCAACGTAAGAATGAAAAAAAAATTGAAAGATGGAAAAAAGTAGATGATTTAATAGCCAATAAATTTATGGAACTTTATTTCATGTTATTACATATTTACATTTTCTA